CTCTATTCGGATGAGTTGTCGAAGAATTTATTCGCCGTTCACTCGAATAAAGCGAAGATTTGTTTGGATTTTATGCGGGCTTTGAGTGAAGACATGACCGCCGATGACGTGAGGAAAGTGTTGACACAACTGGCCGTCAAGTCCGAGAGTAAAGTGATTGTGGTTTTGGGCAATAATCCCACAATTCATACCCGGATCATTCAAAATGCACCCGATATGCTCATTAAAAAGTTAGTATTATAAGCTCATTAATAATTTTATATAACTTACTTGTTAGTAGATAGATATAATTAATATAAAGTATATTATACAAATTATTACTCAATAATATAACAGTTATGCAAGTTATTTAACAACAGTTATTTTATTAAAACTGTAATATTTAATGTAAATTTAGCATTAAATTGGTTAATTAAGTTTTTATTTAATTATGGCGATAATGCTGACTATCGAGATTTTATATTTTAAAATATTTTATACAATATTTTGTTGAAATAGTTTTGTTTGGATTGGCGGCCAGTCATGGCTGGAAAGTGTCAACAAATCCCTGTCCACTGAGAGCGCAAACACCGGTAACACAACCACAGCCTCGAGACTACCCCTCAATGTAATGGCCGTCCAAACGGAGACATACAGTGACCCCCACTTCGCCTCATATTTGTCGCAAATATCGCCATTGGATTCAAACGCCATTCCCTCGCAATGGTTGCACCAGTACTGGCAGTCCAGGTTTGGCTGTCATTTACCCCATTCCCCGGTCACTGACACCCGATTCGAGCGCATGTGTACGGGAGAGGAAAGCCTACCGGCCGGGGATCTCATGAAATCGCCTCACATTCAGCGCACAATAGCTTTAGTCAACGGTTTGTATAAAAAAACAAAAGTTTTTTATAACTTTTAACTTATGGTGTATTTCGCCTTTAAATAGGTATATCCCATGGGATTAAGAGGTTTCTGGGGGACAAGTGTCCGAAAAATAGTCACGAAATGGAGTCCATAGACGACTGTCCGGATAACCCACGGAAAGGGCTCCGGGAGTACATCCTTACGGAACTTAATGGCGAAAAGTATAACGAAAAACAAAATGAGATACAAATGAATGGCTTTTTGAACACATTTCTCGTGTGGCAACGGATTAACGGCTCAAAAGTACCGGTGCTTAAGAGTCTGGACAACAACTCCCGTTCCCCTCTCAAGTCAGGGGACAGTTATCCACTGATTAAAGCTAATTGTGTCCGAAATTGCGACAAATGTGTCAAACAGTTTGAGGCCAATAGTGAATGGCTTATGGCGGCTGAAAACCAATACCGGCCCCCAATGGTTGTCCACTTAAGGCGGACATGGAGTCTGTTGGCAGCCGTGGTGTCAGCCCTGGGTGTGGTATCGGTGCTCATTTGTGTCATATATTTTTTGCTGGTATTCCCGGTAGCCGTGGGTACGACTGTATTGGGCTATCAGATACTGTTCGGCCTATTCATGGCTTATACGACAAACTTTGTGTTTCTCATACCTGTGTCCACATCCGTGTGCGCTCTCCGGCGGTTAGGTATGTCTTATGGAAAACTTAAATCTACTTGCTTATTGTAAGTTATAACTAGTTATAACTTATAATTAGCCAATTTATATTTACTTAAAATTTATTTAATATTATACTAATTATTTGTCTGTCTGTCCCGTACTCGTAGGTCTGTCCCTCTCGTACGCCATAATAATTAGCGGCCTATTAGTGAAAGTGTTAAACACGTGGCGACTAATGGTCATCAAAAACCAATCACAACCCCTACGGCTGTCCTCCCCTACGGCACTGGTGTTCATATCGGGGGGACTGGTATTCCTGCAGCTCATACTCACCACAATATGGCTGTTCAGTTACGCCCCACACCCGGGCCTATACGACGGCCTCTGGAAGTGTTCGCCAAACAAGTCGTTTGTTTTGTGGGACTCAGAGATAATTGTCTCACTTTTATATGTCATTCAATTACTANATATCGGGGGGACTGGTATTCCTGCAGCTCATACTCACCACAATATGGCTGTTCAGTTACGCCCCACACCCGGGCCTATACGACGGCCTCTGGAAGTGTTCGCCAAACAAGTCGTTTGTTTTGTGGGACTCAGAGATAATTGTCTCACTTTTATATGTCATTCAATTACTACTCATTACCCTATTCTTCGCCGCCCTTACCTTCAAGTGCTACGACCAGAACCGGGAGCCCAGGTTTATCATGGCCTGTGCCCTGTGCACCATTGCTGTCTGGGTCACCTGGCTCATTGTCGAGTGTGAGTACTGGTTTTGTTTTAGTTGCATGGATAATTTTTAATTATTTATAAATTTAGTAATAATAATGTTAATTCATTTAATAATACTTTATATATTAAAATTGTTAATAAACTGTAAATTAATTATATTTCTCTTTATATATTATATGAAACATTATGTTTCAAAATTATTGGAGCACACCGGGACATGAATTATTTTAAATATTTTTATTTTGTATTGTTTTCTAGCGGGCAATGCCGACCCCTCCCTGTCCATAGTCTGTGCCAATTCAGTGAACGCCTCACTCGTCATGTCTTTACTATATTTCCGGAAATTATATTTATTTTCCAAAATCTCGCGTAAAATCCGAAGAGAGAGACAAATGAAGACTCGGTTACCGCACGAGCCGTTCGCCGACCGACAGCACCAGATATACGGAGGTATGGATGCAGTCATCACTTAATCATTATATCCCGGGTCTTAGAAATTGTTTTAATCAAACCCCAATGAATAATAATTGTAATTAAAAAAGTTAAATTACATGATCACTTTAATCAATTTGAATATGCTTTAAAATTGGAATAGAAACCCTTTTTAAAATCAAAAATCAAATCAAATAAAACTCATTAAAAAAAATTTAAGCAAATTACTTTTTATATGAATATTTTATGAAATTACAAATATTATTTAACTAATAACTTGGTATTTAAGATTTTTTTGTTTCAATAGTTTATTGATTATCAGTGAAAAAGGCGTTAAAACTTGGTAGTTATAAGTAGTATTATAGCTAATACTGTAATAAAATATTAATAATACTTTATAACTAAACGAATGTGTAATTAATAAATTATTGGCTGCAGACAACAGGCTCAAATTAATTTTTTCAAGTAATTTAATTAACATTTATTTTTCCCCCAAAACAGCCCTAAAGTCGGGATCCATAAGCGGTCGCATGGACTGGATGTGTGGGTCCGGCGATTTGGACGGCACGGGAGGGGACGGGACCCTAAGGACGGCCACTCGAGCGCCGTTTGAACGCGACTACAACGACGACAACATATCCTCGTGCGGGTCCGTCAAGTCCAGTGCCTCGGCTCAGGTCCAGTGCACAGACCTCTACCCCATGGAGGTCTACGACGGGGGCTCACAGTTCGCACCCCTTTCCTCACTCTTCTCTCACACCAACATCTATGGCATCATCGATGACACCCCGACCCATACCACCCGTCACTGAACTCATTGTCCTTTTACTAACAAAACTGTCAAATAAATTGAAAATATAATTATAATTATATTGATTTTGGTACTTCAAAATTATGGTTCATATTTTTCAGATTGTATTTTATTAATGTTGTATTTATTTTTTAATAAAAGAATTTAATATTCAAATATAAATTTGACATTGTTATTTATTACAATCACTTCATTATTTATTAAATACTGTATATATATTATTATTGGGACTGGCTACTTTGCCGGTTGTCGGATGAACTTAGGGTTTTTAGGGCACTGTCTTAAAAACCAACTTTGCCTCCTTGCCTCCCATAGGGGAGAGAGAGAGAGAGTTGGTTATATATTTAACTATTATTAAATATTAATTTTTTATTAACTTTATACAAAGTATGTAATGTAGATTATAATTATATAAGTTAATAATTTAATAATTTTAATTGTAATTACATTTTAATAGCTCTCTCCCCCAATTTTGTGGTCCTGAATGGGAGAGAGAGAGCTATTTATATGTAACTACAATTAAAATTATTAAATTATTAAATTATTAACTGATTTAACTATAATCTACATTATAAAATTTGTAAAAATTAATATTTAATAATAGTTAAATATATAACGAGCTCTCTCTCCCCTATGGGAGGCAAGGAGGCAAAGTTGGTTTTTTAAGTCAGTGCCGGTTTTTAGTCATTTATCTTAAATGTAGTGATTTAAGTCATATTAAATGACCTATTCATGTTTATACAGTACTACAGTATAATAATTGTTTTAAATAAAATTGCCATAATAATGATAAATAATTTCAATTATACAATATATTTTCATATTTATAGAAAGCTACTATTTTCTATTAGTTAGAAATATTTTCTTAATTAAATTTAATTACACAAAAAATAATTAAGTAAATGATTTACTAAACTGTATTATTATTTTAAATATTTAAATTTCATAAGTCACTTTACTAAATACATTAAATAGACAGTAA